ACATATTTTATCCAAAGGATCTTAAACACGGAGTGCTCGTAGAGCAGGGCCGACCGTCGAACATTAACCAGTCTCACCTCGTCCCCTAAATGGCTTCAATGCCACGTATTCCATCATCATGGTTCGGGTTTCCAGAATTGTAGCATTGATTACGCGCTCTTGAATGATGTCATATAATCAACCAGTTTCGGTAAAGTCGTGCCGAACATACATTGAAGGTAAATCATACTTCTGACTCCCATCATTCGACGGGTCTCCGAGCGCTCATGCTGAGTTGAAGAGGCTGTCGAAGCCAAGCTCGAGCCATGATGTTCGAGACGTCGAACTCGTGAGGACAGTCACCCCGGCAAGAGCTCTCGGAGGTGAGGATCTAGTCTCAGTAGCCCCACGCAGTGGGTCTGAGTAGGAAACCCTGCTAAGCCTCATTTTTTTGGTGGTTTAGCTGATATGAGATATTTATCTCTACGTATATATAGGCATTAAGTATCAGTCGTAGAGCTGAGTATTAAGCATGGCCTTTATATAAGAGAAGGTATTAATATTGCTAATAGGATATAAGATACTATTAAAATCACGGCAACTACTCTACTCCTCCGCACTTTCGCGATATCTAGAATATTATCTTAATAAGAGCGAAGAAGAGCTTAACCCGCTACTCGTTTTTTAAAATTTTATAAAAATTCGTTCTACTTTCGTGCGGGGGAATTAAATATATAAATTTTTAAATTTCTTTCGATTTAAATTATTAAAAGTTTTTAGACTTTGCTATTATATAGAGAAAGAATATTATTATAAAATATAGAGAGATTAATATCTATAATTTAAAGATATCTTATTATCGTCGTTATAGAGAAAGTTAAATATCTAAATATCTTTAATATATTTTATATTTATACGAGCTCGTTCTAAGCGCGCTAATCGCGTTAATATTATTTAAAATATATATACTATAATTCTCTTAACTCTTAAGTAAAGTATATTCGAGTTAATATCTATTTCTATAGAGAAAGTATTTTAAGTATCTAACTTTCTAACTAAGAGTAATATAACGAATCTATTTTAGAGATTTCTTAACTTAATTCGTTATATAACCTTTTAATAATACTAAATACGATATACTATCGTCTAAGATTTTTCTAATAAAGATTAATCGATTAATATTAAATACTATAAGCGTTAATATTAGAATCGATATAAATATAATATTAATATAAGTATATTAAATAAGATAACTAAGATATCGAATTATATAGATAGAAAGAAGATATAATATAATAGAAGATATCTTCGCTAAGGCCCGCTAGTTATAGAGCTAAGGGGTATATTAAAAATACGCTCGTAATAGTTAACGAAGATCGTAATCTCGAATTAGCTTATATAATAATAATAAGCTATTCGATTTTAATAAAAGACTTAAATACTTAATTAGCGACCTCGATAAGCTTATTCTCCTCGCGATTAATTTTAAAGAATTATATAATAGTCGTGGAAAAATCGTTAAAAGTCGCGAATTTCGCATTTCGATCAATTATTACGAGTGCTTTATATAAAATAACGATTAATATAGCGATTTTAGGATTTCCTACTTAGACTCTAAAGGGGGGGTATACCGTAATGAGCTTGCGATATGATTGGCCCCCGAAGCGAGGAACGAGTGTAGGGCTGGCCATAGGTGGTACCCCGGCTAGCCGTGAGTCTGAATTACTGAGACTAGTCACTAGTAAGGATCAATCGAACACTATGCTGACGTCATGGACTGGGATAGAGTCTGAATAATGATTCACAGTGTGAACGGAGTAGTAGCTATGAAGGTCTTATGTAGGTAGTGCCAAGTCGCACTAGGCCCAATTGGGAACCGTAGTGTTGAGACCTGAGTACACACGTTTCATACGTTCACTAGGCAAGCTTTTCACTACTGGATAGTCCCGCGCGACCGGCATACCTTATATTACTGAGACCCATGCGAGAACCTAGCTGCACTGCATGGATGAATACATCAGGGTAGCAAAGTTTTGAAGACGACTTTTGCCAACCACTTCCCCTTTTCCCATAAAATCTATGCACCCTTCCAGCGTGTGCTCGGGAGGTCCACGCTAGCAGGGGTCAAATGTAGAAATTAGTCATTTGATCCAATGATCGCGGTTCTACAGACTAGGATCTTAAGACTTTGCTTACTCTTGGAGCTAGGCAAACGTCGATCGGACACTAAATAAAATACCTGCCTACGATTTGACCCCTACTTATATAGCGTTTTGAAGATTGAACCTCCATATGAACATTTAAGATTGACCAGGGTGTTATTTTAATGCTATATTCCGTGAGATCGCATTAAAAGCGTTAGGGTAAAATAAAAACTAACTGTATAAAGATAAGATTCAGTCTTCAAAATCTTGGCTGACCCTATCTAGATCATCCGCGTAGCCGGTATCAGCGCACTCACCAACTCGTTTCCGACGCGGGGTTGCGTTTCTCCCCAGAACCGTGGGCTGGCTGACATATCTCGGCTCACGGTCAAAGTCCATTCATATAATTTCATAATAATGATAGGACACAGATCCGAATCTCTTGCCCTTGACTGCCACTTAGATATTTCGCATACCCTATAAGCAGTCTCATCGAGTCGGGTTCGAGAGGCCTTCCGCCCCGATCGGAATAGCTTGACCTACACGCCTACTCGATGTCTCTTGTCACTGATAACATACGCACATTGTCCCTTCACAAGGAGTTGAAACCTCACGCGGAAGAGGTTCGAATTTTGCAAGAGGATGACCGACCCCACCGGAACAGAAGCGGAACATGCGGGCAGGAAATCCCCATCGTTCGGAATAGAGACCGAGGACGCTGTTGCGTAGAGCTTGAGAAGCTTTTGCAAAAACAGACTCGGCGCAAAAGGGGCCGATGGGCGGAAAGTGCCCAAAACAACCTCTTCCCGCGGTGGGAAAGGTAAATCAAGACGGCCTCTCCGCTCTACAAAGCCTGAACGTATCTGCCGGAAAGCTTCGCCCTCTAGGTGGCAACGGCGATCAAGAAGCGATCCTCCAATCCCTCGCGACCAGGGGACCCGTATCATTCGCGTCAAACCCAAGGGTCCACGGCATCCATCGCCGTACCATTCATTGCCAGAATAATCCGCACCGGGACAACAAAACCCAAACCAACTCCATCACCGCCCGTCCCAACCTATTGCCCCCCAGCGCCTGCCCGATATCGCCAACGCCCCCACTCCAGCGCTGACCGGCGACCATCGAGACCTGACCGAACGCCACGACCGAAGAGAACAAGACCCACCGAGCATCAGGCGCGTGGATCCGTGACGACATTTCGGAAACCGAAATTTTCCCGCCAAAAGGTGTCGGGTCCCTACCGCTCGCTCTGACGTTCGCGCGTGGCCGAGGATGACCCACGGAGGCGGCCGAGGATGACCGGGCTGCTGCGGTGGGGCACGGTTGGCGGAGTCTCGTTGGAGGATGAGAGACGGCACTGTTTGGAGAGAGGGCATAGGTTGGCCGATCGACGCTCTGGCTTGCCTGCCCGGTGGTGGATTCGGATCCCGTGAGCACTCGACGACGGTGCGCGATCGGGCCGTCTAACATCGGAGCCCGCGTTCACCGGTGCGGAACCTGGATCGGGTTCCTCGCAGCGGAAAAGTGTAGAGCGAAAGGGGTTGCCCCTTCCGACATACATTTCGGATGCTGGACCTACGATGGCGTTTCGGGGGTCCGCGACCGAAGCGCCACATGCGCTGTCGACAGTGTACCAAGCCGCGGGTGGCGTGGTCGGTGTAGGTACGTTTGACACGCGAAAGTTTTAGCCTGTAAGTTGGAAGGGTTGGTGGATTTCACCGATGGTCGATTTTGAAAGATGGCTTTGGAAACCCATAGCTGCGTCGGTCGAGGAGTGTCTGTCACTGAAACTCGGACGCATCACTTTGGCCCTTCTGCTGAATTCGGGATCGTGGATTTGATTCTATTGGCATGGTGAGATGTTGGGGATATCAGGTCGATTCCCCGGCGTACCACGGGCCACAGCCCGAGATGTCGGGAAGAGTCAAAGATATACAATTCGCCATCTCAGTACCTCGCCCCGTACGGAAAGAAACGATACCGTGACAACTCGTCTTGACAAAACGTGCGCGATCCGGCTTCTACGTTCCAGACCTAGAGCCAACCCGCGCACGTCACTTGCCCCTAGAATACAACATATGACCAACGCAACAAACGGTAAGGAATGCGCAACATCGCAAGGATGTCATACGATATCCTCCTTGAAAGGGTCAACATTGCCTCCGGACCACTCTTGAAGAAGAGACAACGGGTTCGCGATGTGCAATTTAGCCTTTGGAAAAGAAGTGAGACCAGACTGGGGAAACCGAGTAAAACGGGTGAGGTCCAATATTGGCAACTAATAACGCTTTCGTCCGTTAACCTCCCTATGCTTGCCTTGAGAACGGAACGCTCGAACTGTGTACTGTAGTTTCGCTTCTCTCCCATCGCACGTCACCACGGTTTCCAACAGTGGGATTGAGGACTTGTGGGTACAGGGCGGAATCCAGTGGCCAGCCGTTCTTCCGATCCAGTGTTGTATCGCATCGGGAAGCCGCGAGCGGGAGTGTGTTTATCTGATGCGGTGGCCGAGGACATTGCGGGAATGATGTAATGGTAGAGATATGTAGAGTCGAGGGTGCCCCGTCAAGAGGCTTCTGGGTAAGGGAAACGGCAGCGAAAATCATAGTAAAAGCACTTGTACAAACCGGAAGAGAAAAAAATGAACCTCAGTCGCTCGCTCGCTAAATTCACAACCGGAGTCGTATACACCTAAAGCACTTCGTTTACCTGTCGTACCGTTCCTACCGTATCCCGAACCCCTTGATTCCAGTACTGGTCATGAGTTCCCCCCCCCTGTCCCACGCCCCATTTCCTATTTGCGTTTCCCCGGGCCAGCACCCATCTATATCCTGCAGGTTATATCCACTAAAAATGTCAAATGCATTGGAAGAGGCGCTATCTCGAGCTCTTGACCAAATCTCTAGGATCGCAAGTGTCGAAGAAAAATAAGCTTCCTTCCCAGCTGGACGACTGTGCACGATCGTCGAGATCAAAAGGCAGGGTCCCAGCCGTCTTGGTGTTGCGAGTAGGTCCGTGGTATGTCCTGGACTGCTCTCCAAGCATATCTGCGGCGCCTGCAGATTGCAAGGGGCTAGGTGTAATCGATGGAGTGGCTTGCCAGAGCGTACTTGTGCCAGAGCTGTCGTATCCCGACGGGGAGCTAAACTCGGTAAGACTGGATGCTGGTTGGATCTGAATTTGTGAACAAACGGGTTGCGACCGTGTCGCACTGCTAGCGCTGGCGGTTGGGAACCCTCCCGGCGCTAAAGGGTAGGCCCCGTGATACTCCATGCTAATTTGTGCTTCTGGTGCATCACTTCGGTCCAATGCCAGCCCATATGTCGGCCTCAAACAGCTAGTACTAAGGGCTGCGATGTGGTCTCCATCCAAAGACCAGGGATGTTCCGAGCCTTGCGCAACTTCCACGATCTGATGCTTACTGTTCATTTCCAGGCTCTCGGCTGGATCAGCGAAGAAACCCATTGACCCCTCGCCTTGGCCGATGAAATTTAGACCCGAGAGGATCATTTGGGGATACTGCCCATTGGAGTTCTGCCGGCTCAAATTGAATGCAAGCATCCTGTATGCAGCAAAAGCAAGGGTCTCTGCCGCATCCTCTGCCATCTCCAGTCTTCGTTGTAAGTCTTCGATCATATCCCTATCCCAATGAAGATCTCGGTCACTTGCAAAATGGTCTGAGCTAAGTAGATGTTGGAATGAGCTGGCTACCGTCGGTGAAAGCAAGAGGCCTCGAATCACATTGGTGGCACTCCACTCATTTATCAGTTGACCTTTCCTGAAATGATCCATATCGATATGGTTCAACTGTTCGAGGATTGTAGAGAAGATACAGACGCAGAATCCACATGCATAATGTTTCTTACGGAGTGTTCTTTTCCATTTATCAGCAAGACCGCGAGTACGATTGTCAGAGACTCCATGAGATCGCTGCAGATGCCCTTCGAGGTTGGCCCTTCTTGAAACGCCGCGACGCTTAGCGGATGTGTCCCCACATTCACCAATGGAGTGGTCAGCCATGTGGCTTTCGCTGGGGTTCATTGAACCACAAAGCGCACAGATCAGGCCAGTTCCTGCAGTTTCAAACGGCCCGTACGGCATGCAAGGCCAGTCTGTCTCATGTTCTTTCATGTGTCTCTTCCATCCATCACAAGTGGTATAGACCTGAAGGTTCCGGTGTGTATCGCAGAACATATTTACGCACCTCCAAGGTTGTGGATTTGTGACGCGTGATGGACGAGCTTCTTGAGTGAAGACTTGTCGTGAGTTATTTTTCACGAAGCGATGTGAACCGAGGGAGTTTGTCGACGTGATATGAGAGTTCTGGCCGCCGTAGGCTGGTAAATAACCGGATAATGCAGAAGATGGTCTCGTAGTCGTCCTTAGTGGTCGCCGTAACGCATTTTTTGAGCTACGTGTCACAGCACTTTGAGGTGTGGGAAGACCGCTGATGTGCGGGTTCCGAGATTGACTTCTCGCTCCTACCACTATGTATCAGAGTCAATTCTATGGGTTTCAGGATGGTGGTTGCTCCCGACCTCGAGAGTATCTCAACCACAGTAAGACAAGACTATCAGGACAAAGTTTCAGATGTGAAAGTGCGTCAAGTTGTTCTCCAGAAAGGCCTTCAAGACATGGGCTATGAACATGGCGTATCGGACGAATGGCGGACAGCAAGTCCAAGACCTTGCTATCCTCGAAATACTTTAGAGTCTCGATAGCCGATAGCTGCAATGGTGAGCGGTAGGTTGACTCGTCAAGCTCATCGACGGAAGCAGCAATAGCTTGGTGCTCTTGTGATTGGGATTCTTTGAAGTGCTCAGAGCTCTTTGAGTCAATGTCCCGGAAGCTAGATGAATAGCTCCAGTCCTGGAAAGAATGTTGAGTCGACGACATCGGTAGCGAAGGACGAATGTGTGTACAAGTCTAATAATTATCCAGGTAGAAAGAGTGAGGCATCACTGCTCGTTGTGAGGTCCCACAAGAATGAAGAGTGACTCGCCTTCTCAACCGCCATCTAGGGCGGATTGAAGCTGGTTGAATGAGAGAGGAGTTGAAAGACGCAACGGAACTGTTTCGACCCAATTCTTTTTTTTCGTTTCTGGGCGGGCGAAATTCAAGATGGGAAAGATTAGCCATGTGTTAGCCGATGATCATTGGCAGGCGCTAAGCAAGGGTCAGCGGAGTCCTTAATTATACCTTACTTTAGGTTCATCTGATTAGGGACGACAAGGCTGCAAAAAGAACGGCACCGCCCAGTAAATTATTGGGGGCACCATGGGGGAGGGGCTTGACCCCAAATATGGGCCGAGTCGGAGATTACATGACACTTGTGGCGTACGCAGGAGACGATTTCGTCACATATCACAATATCGTCCTTCTCTCAAATTATTATAATCAACAGTGTGACGAGACTAAGATGATTTTGAAGCCGAGGTGCCTGGAGCATGAATTAAGTTGTGTAAATGTGGCCTGCTAAACGGGTGTGGCGCGCGACCCCACCGGACCCCTGGATCCTGGATTCCTGGGCCGCCTAGCAGTGGTTTTGCCGGCGGCCACGGGAGATACCCGTTCTATCCCCGAGGCTGGGCTCACCCATTACCACGGATCAGCGAGCCCAGCAGAGCGAATAGACTTTAATGGACCAACGTCTGTTCCACAGTCCACATGATTCTTCTTCCGAACGCGAACAGTGCTGCACCCAATTTCCCGCTCCCAGGGAACCGGAAACCACCTGGGTCCGAGCACTCGCTGTACCTTCCACCCAGGCCATCCAAAGCGGGAAATGGCGCTGCAGATCCGACGGTCGAGACTGAAGGGGAAGAGGGTAGATGGGTGGACATTGATCCAGTGGATGGAGCGCTTATGGTGAATATTGGTGACATGATATCCCGATGTAGCGGAGGAAAGTGGAAAGCGACGGGACACAGAGTTGTGAATGAAGGAGTGGGGTTATTGAGGGAAGAATAGGCGACTGGTCAAGGAATCATCCCACCTGTGCATGCCCCCGAGTCGTGTCATTCGTGCGCGATAGCTAGCGAGCGCATTAGCCCAGCATGCGCATGTCCTCTAAATTCCAATAACCAAAGCCACGGGAAGTCAAGCAGAAATCTCTTCCTTATCTGCGGTAGCTTTCAAAATCCCCCACTCGCATGCCGAGCGTGTGGCTAAAACCATGACATCCTCGTGGCAGAGCGTACCCTAGTCTAGCAGCGCGGAATATCTCCGCCGCCGAAGACGAGCGCTCGGCTGTTGTTAGAGGTATTTAGTTCGTATTAGGTTCGATCCCAACTGGCGCTGGTACAATGGTGTTACGGTGCTTTTTATTTTCTGGCAACGCCATTAACCTCAGATTTTTAGAGTTCTTAACCGGGAACAGCCATTGATTCGAATTCCGTGCGATGCATTGATTTGCAAAGCGAAATATTCGTTAATTAACTTACCGTCCGAGGCAGACGTCTGTTGGTTGTGGTCGTGTTGTTAGAGGTATTGAGTTCGCATTAAATTCGATTCCTAATGGCGCTGGTACAATGGTGTTGCGGTGCTTTTTATTTCCTTCGGCACAGCGTGATTGGGAGACGCGTTATCAAGTCCCCAGCCAAAAACCCACGCAGGGCCTACCGGTCTGAGGAACACAATGCTGGCATCATGTATATAGTGTAGTAGCTTTCCCGAGATGCAAAAACCAGAGATATCACAGTAGCTCAGTCAAACGTCGAGGAGCCTTAATAGTAGACCTACCTGTCAAAGACTAATTCAAGGCTTCGTGCAGTTGCCCGCTGGCTGACACTCACAATGAGAATTGTGTGGATCCATGTTTACTATTTCTCAAGCGTCTTCTTTCAGGTACAAGGAAAAAAAGTCCTCGTAAAACACTGAAAAAATTTTCACACAACACCATTTTTCGAATTTGCTAGTGAAGCCTCATAAAAGGTATTATAAGAAATTTTTCTATTCTCTTCTTCACTTAATATCTATAACATTAAAGATTCGAGAGAAATAACGCAACTCTCTTCTTTTCATTTTAAAACTATTATAAATTTCTAATATATAACTAAGCAAGATAAATCGAGTTAGCAACCTCCTTACTTAGATATTTAACCGACAATAGTTCTTGCTATCTAACGATATAGCGGAGGATATCGCGGCTATTACGAATCTATAATAGGTTATTAGCGTCGATTAACTACGTAATTAAGCCGATAAGAAGCCTAATTAGTTTCTTACTATACTCCGCGACCTCCGCTATTAATAAGACTAATTTCGAGACGTAGCTAAATAATATATCGATCTTAAGACTAAGAAGGATAAGATAGTAAATTAATGAAATAAGGTTTAATAACGCTTAAAGTAAGTTAGTATTAAGGCCGAGGAGCTATAAGAATAAAATAGAAAGCTTCGATAATAGCTAATAGTAATGCGGTTAGGTATACTTAAAGATCTATAAATCATCTCTAAGATATAAGCGTTAATCTTAATAAAGCCTATCTAAGTTTTATAACCTATCTATAGAAAAGAGAAGTTCATTAAGCTATCGAATCCTCTCTTCTTTATCGACGATAAGAATCCTATATGAGAGAATTAATTAGTTAAAATAAAGGAAAAGTTATTAGATAATAAGAATTACTACCCCATCGAGACGTCTCGAATTATCTATCTTCTATTATATATAGATAAAAAAGCGATCTCTTATACTCTAAATAGGAGATATAGAAGTATTATAAACTTCTATATGTTAGTTAGCGAGGTTATAGATTAGCTAACTAAGATCTATAAAGAGATAAATTATCGTGAAAAGATAAGACGCGAATATAACTCTCTTTAATAGATAATTTAGCCCTTTAATAGATTCTATATAGAACTCGTTAAACTCGATTTTATACTTAACTATAACGAAATCTATTTAAGAAATAATTTAAATATTAAGCTACGAATATGTACCCGACTTTACTTCGTTTTTATAGCCCTTTCTAGTTATAAGTCTATACCTCTAAGAGATATTAAGAAATATCTTATAGATAACGATAACTTATAGCGCGTAAACTATAAACTACGTCTGGCTCTAGCCGTCGATAAAACGACTTCTAAAACTATTGTAATTCGGATAAGAAAGACGATTACCGCTATAATCGAGGATTATATATCTTTCGCTATTATATTAAATATTTATACCTCGAGTACCTTTTAGAGTATATCGAAGGCGACGATCGATATAGATTCGAGGGACTTAATATATTTTAATTATAGGAAGACGAATTACGTAAGGCGTAACTATCTAGTATAGAAATAGATTAACGCTAATAAGAAGGCCTTATAAGAGGTAGGAATCTACGAACTTATTATCGATGACGAATATAAGATAAATCTACTAGCCGACGCTTACGAAGCCTCTAAGAATTCGAGAAACGAATAGCCTCTATTAAAGTTACGGTAAGGGGGACCTATAACGTATATCTACTAAATGCTTCTAATAATTCTTTAATACGCCGTTCTTTTAGAATATAAGTAACGCTATCGTTATAAGAACGAAAATACTTACTTTAGAACGCCCTTATCGATAGTGGGTGTATTAGGATATATATAGTTATTAATAAGTCTCTAGTTTATAGGGTTTATAAAGAATTGCTATTGAAATCGATTTCACTATCGAAATCTAAATCTCTAAAGAATTACGATAGCCGGATCGCAAAGAAGCCTATTATCTACTATTTACTTTCGATAATAATAGTAAATAATTATCGAGAGGGAACGTGTTCTATACTCATCGCCCTTATCACATATAACATGATTTCTAGAAAAACTATAGATAAATAAGTATAGGGTATTCCTCGATATAATGAAAGATAAGATTCTTTTCATATTAAACCGCTATAATTATAACGATAACGAGACCTCGATAGCGAAGAATCTCGCTATCTTACTAAATCCGAAACCGAAACCCCCTATCCTATAGACTATCTTAAAGAAAAAACCTTCTCCTTAACCCATATATAACAACGACTTGAACTTCACTATCGACTCGAATGTCTCTAGCGAATCAATTAATGAAAAGAGGTTTACACCTACTCTTCGAAACGTAAAATAAAAACGAGATATAGATCTATAATCTATTAATATCGTCGAAATTAATATTGTATTATACTATCAATTAGCGCGTAATAAGGGAAACCATCTATTTATCCTTATTATAAACGAGATCTATAACTCGCTATTAAAGGAGTTACCTCCTTAGAAGAAATCACGTAATCCTCACATATCGATTAATAAGCTATATTCTTATAACTTAGAAAAGAAGTATAAGAGGTACTATAAATCGAATTACCCTATTTAAATTAGCGCTATCGAAATCGTTAGCCCTAAAGATATTAAACGAAAACTCCTTATCGAGTATTACGACTATTTAAATATTTTCGATAGAACGAAGGTGAACGAACTATTATTATATCGCTCTTATAATCATAAACTAAAGTTTACCGAGGCCGATATCGCCGGCCTATTAAAGAGTTGAGTCTATTCTATATCCGAATATAAGTTAAAATAGGTTAAGAAGTATTTAAACGAGTATCTAAAAAAGGGGTTTATAATATCTAGTTATGCTTCGTTCGTATATCCTCTATTCTATTTACCGAGAAATTAAACGAGGGCCTACGCTTTTATATAGACTATCGAAGGCTAAATACTATTATCAAGAGAAATCGATATTTAATTCTATTAATAGACGAGGTTCTCGCGAGAATTTAGAGCTGTAAATATCTCACTCGATTAGATATTATAGCCGTATTTAATAAATTGCGTATATACCCCGATAGTAAGGATTTTATTATATTCGTTACCTTCCTCAACGCATATAAGTATCGGGTACTCCCCTTCGATCTAATTAATAATCCAGCCACCTATTAGTAATATATAAATAATATTCTATTCGAGTATCTAAACGACTTCTGTTAAGTCTATCTTAACGATATTCTTATTTACAGTCGATCGAGAAAGAAATACATTACGTATATTCGAAAGATTCTTTAGAAGCTACGGAAGGCCGGATTGCAGATAGATATTCTCAAATGCGAATTTCATATTTAAGAGACGAAGTTTTTAGGCCTTCTTATTTCGATTAATAGCCTTTAAATAAACTCTATCAAAATTTAAGCTGTTATTAAATAATCTACCCCTATTAATTTAAAGGAGATATAGATCTTTATTAACTTTTACAACTTCTATCGTCGATTTATAAGAGATTTCTCGAAAATTGTAAAACTAATAATAAAACTTATAGTTAAGAAAGTAATATTCGATTAATTACCGGCCTATTAGAAAGTCTTTTATTTACTAAAGATAGCCGTTATAAGAGCTTCGATTCTACGCTATTTCGATAGATCGAAGAACGTTATACTCGAAACGAACTCCTCTAATTACGTTAATAATAATATTCTATTCTAGTATAACGACGACGAAGTCTTATACCCGATAGCTTTCTATAGTAAGAACCTCACCCCAGCTAAGTATAACTATTAGATCTACGATAAGAAGTTACTAGCTATTATTCGCTATCTAGAATACTAACGTCCTAAGCTAAAATACATCGATATCTCTATTAAGATCTTCATGGATTATAAAGGCTTAATATACTTTACTAAAGAAAGGAATTTAAGTCGTCGCTAGGCTCGCTATTTAGATATACTATTCGAATTTAATATTAAAATTATCTATCGTCTAGGGCCTTAGAACGTTAAGGCCGACGTATTTATATATATAGCCAGTTCTAAGCCGAATAGCTTAGAGAACGAACGCTTAAAGTAGTAGTATTAGATAATACTTACGCTTAATCATTTAAAACTTAATAATAGCGACGTCGAAATATATACTATCGACGATCTCTATCTTTTATAGAATAGTCTAAGAAAATAAGGCTAATAAGTTTTATAACGAGATTCGTAAGGCAATTGCGGAAGGTAAGGACAGACTTCGTAGAGTTACGCTTAATAAGTGCTTTATAGAGGATGGGGTACTCTATTATAGAGACCGCCTATAGATACTAGAAGGTCTATATACTAACGTTATTCGCGAAGTATATGATTAGCTCTTATATAAACATTTCGATATAGTCCGTATCTATAAGCTACTTAAGCGGAAATACTATTAATAAGATATAAAAGCTATCGTTACTATTTATATCCGAAATTACTACATCTACTATAGGTCTAAGGCCCCTCGTAATCGGAAATATAGCCTGCTATAATCTCTATTAATTCCTTAAAAGCGATAATAGAATATCTCGATAGACTTCGTGATGGGTTTACTCATATCTGATGAATATAACGCTATCTGGGTAGCGATAGACCGACTTATTAAGGAACGATACTACGTCGCGTGCTCTAATATAGATGAAGGAATTACGGTAGAAAAAACGGTTAACATGTTACTTAAGGAGGTCTTTCGCTTATATAGCCTACCGGTGTCGATAGTTTCGGATAGGGGCTTTTAATTTATATCGATAATATGGAAAGTCTTTTATAAATGACTCGGGATTAAGGCTAAGCTATTAATAGTCTTTTACTCCAAAATCGATAGATAGACTAAACGGGCTAACTAGAATATAAAACGCTATCTTCGAATATATTATAATTATATATAAGACGATTAGTCTAGATAATTATCTATTATCGAGTTCGTCGATAATAATACTACTTCCATAGCGATGGGTGTTCTATTATTCTTTATAAATAAGGGCTTTCACCCTCGAATAAGTTTTAGCTTAGATACTATCGACTATAATATCACTTATAAGCGCCTCGACGCTACTTAAGCAGAGGATATTATCGAGTATATACAGTAGGTTCTTAACTATATCTAAAGTAATATAAATCGCGCTTAAAAGGCTATAGTAACCTAGGCCAATAAGCGATAACAGAAGGTTACTTTTAAAGTAGGCGATATAATCTTTCTTAGTAGTAAGAATATTACCTCGAATCGATCATCTCGAAAACTGAATAATAAGAGGTATAGCCTATTTAAAGTGATAGGTCTCGTGAAAACCTCATATCGCTTAAAGCTTTCAGTGAGTATAAAGATCCATAATATATTTCACCCCAATCTCTTAAGCCTCATATCGATAGACCCCTTGCTTAGATAAATTAATTCTTTATCGAAGTACGTTACTGTTAAGGGCCGAATCGAATAGATAGTAAAGGAGATTATCGCCTTTAAATTCATCAATAAGCCGTCTTAAGTATCGAGTGAAATGGGAGAGTCTCGATAAGGACCTTAAATAGTATAACTCGGACGATGGCGAATTCGAAAACTGTTAAGATATAATCGACGATTTCCATAAACGGTATCTGAAAGCAGCCCACTAGGCACGGCAATACCTCGGATATCGTGTTTTTGAACGAATTGGAACCGTCCGATGTCTTTAACGGCTTTATCTTTTTTCGCGTTCGCAATTCGATTCCTTAAGCCCATATTGCTTTATAACAGCCTCAGTCCAGGCCTACTAAGCCGGCTCCCCTTGTTGACACAACCCTTGACATGTTCCGGGGCCATACCAGGTTACACACGGATCTTACTGTCGCCGTCGCTGGGCATAATCGATGTTGACCAGGTTGCTTATCACGGAGAGGCCTACGCCAAACTAATTTGATACTAAATTAAAGTTTAGCGCCTACGGCTCGATTCGGTTCGGGACCTCTCGACTAATCAAGTCGCACCATTCCATCAATATCCTTTGCGCTGGAATACCAACTCGGGAATCACCATCACCCACCAAAACACTTATAATCACTACTCGCCCATTGCCACACCGATTTCTTTTAGACTAGGACTTCTATGCTCGCCATATCTCTGGCTAGCGATGACGCCAACGCGAAGGCCGAGATACAAGCTCTCATTACCCGTGCTGCCGCCGGGGAAGACCGCAGTGTTGAAGGTCCTAGACACTAAAAGTTCTTTATTATTTCATCAATTTTCAAGCGAGCGTGCATACACACTATTTTTACTACTCTTTTATTTATTAATCATGAGGGTATGATTCTATAAGGGGGGGGGGGTAGTGTTACGAGCGTACCCTGCATCTCCCTTAACACACCATTCAGCCCTATGGCCTATTAGGGCCTAGCGTGTCTTGGCAGAGCCATCTGCTACTATCTGATGCCTTCTATCTACATAGCTGTCCGGTACCTAGTTGTCTTATTCAATATACCTACATTGATACCACATCTATACCAAACCAAAAAAACGGGGTTAAAAAAATTTTATTTTAAAAAAAAAAAAAAAAAAAAAAAAATTTTTTTAAAAAAAAAAAAATTTTTTTTTATAAAAAAAAAAAAAAAAAAAAAAAAAAAATTTTTATTTTTTTTTTTTTTTTTTATTAAAAAAAGGGGGGGGGGAAAAAAAAAAAAAAAAAAAAAAAAAAAAAAAATTTAAAATAAATAAAAAAAAAAAAAAGGGAGGTACTGACGAGACTTTCCCATCCCATATGTAGAACTTCATCAGTCATAGAGTCCTTCAACTCGTATCAAACGCTAATTGCCACGTACTCTACGCAAACATATCATCAGTACCTGGGTCGTCGCTGGACACTGTTGGTGTCGTCCAGATATGCATCCCGCTGGTAATGCTGCTTTGCTCTTGTTGCACATTGAGGCCGGTGTATTGGTCTGCTGCAGATGAACTTTTCTGGAAAGGATCCGATAGCCAAGGATCTTGCATTAAGCTACTGCCATCGTCCGAAGAGGAAGCTGGGAAGGTACCGTAGTCGTAGGTGGCCGTCGGAACCCCGCCCAATGCCGAGACACCATGATGAAGGGTGTCGGCGGGTGCTACAAACTGAAACTGGTCGTGTTCCGAGCTCGGCTCATATGCTCCTTCCGTGATGGAACCATAGCCGCTTGTCGGCACGTTAGCACTCGATCCTATTGCTCCATGAATCGGTGCAAAGCCAAGCGGCTTGTAGTCGTTGAGCAAATGCCAATTGGACTGGCGCGCGTTGTACGCTGCTTTCGCGAGAGCTGCCGCATGCTTTGTATCGGATGGCCCTATTTCGAGATCGTGCTGCAAACCTTTCACAACATGCCTTTCCCAGATGATTTTTGAAGACTCCCAGCCCAGTAGGGAATCTAGTTGAGCTTTCCAGGCACTCGCCATTCTTGGTTGTAACAACAAGCCTTCTATTACTTTGGTAGTGTCCCACTCATCAAGTGTTTGACCGCGCTCGAAATGCGTTGCGACATGCTTGAGACGATCTCCAAAGGTGTGAACCAGGTAACCACAGAAGCCACATGACCACGCTTGCTTCTTGGTGGTTTCTTTCCACTTATCCGCTATGGCTCTACCTTGGGCCTTCCCCTGAACGTCGTGTAATTTCTTCAAATGTTCGACCAAGTCAGCCCTTCTCTTACAAAAGAACGAGCCTGGGACTCCCTTTCCACATATCTGGATCTTGTGCGCGCCAAGATGCTTTTCGCTTGGGTTCGATATTCCGCAAAGGATACATTTGGTGCCGCCCTCAGTCTTTTCTAATGGGCCCCCAAGCATACAGACATATGTATCCACATGCTCCTTCTCGTGTTTCTTCCAGTCCGAGAGATTCTTGTAAGGGCGCCGGATCTCGCAGATAGTGCACCAATAGAGATTGACTGCCTTTGTTGCTTTGCGTGAAGTATTGGTCTTGTCAAACGTCTGGTGCTGGTCAAGGTCGGAAGTATTCGGGGTGATTTGATGGGAGCCTTCAATCTGAACGCCATTGGGCGGCGCGCGGACAGATGCGCTACCGCCGGGAGCGTGCACAGTTCCCTGCAAATGCCCCGAGGAGGGGAGGTACGAGTATGCGAAGCCAGATTCTTGGCCGATAAGGCCCCGCGGGTAATTGCGTTGTTCAGTGTCGCTTGCTAGTCAGCGTCAGCTCTTTGAAACCTAAAAAATTTCGTAAGTCCTCACAAAGCTTGCGAGCTTGTTCCAACAAGGTCCTGATTTTATCATCGGCATAATCTCTCAGTGCCCCGACAGCCAGGACTTGGTCGCTTGAGAGTGAGCCATGGCCAGGAAAATAGTGGAGGCTTGGACTGAGAGACCGCGCAAGTGTGAGGTACGCGAAAATGATTTTGTCATGCTGATCGAGTAAAATCGTGATGGCCTTCTGCGGCTCCAGACGAGTGGTTGCGGAATTCTGCGCCAATGACGGGGAAGGTCTCTCTAGCGCATGAGCTAAGCCTGAAACGGGCCTCTGCAAATCGTCAAAACCCATTATTATTAAGAGCACGAAAGAACAAAGGGCAACTTTCGCACAACGCGCACACCTTATTATTGAAATCACACCACAACCACGCATCCTACGGACCTGAGGCCTTCAGTACGGTGATCAGCTCATTATTTGGTATAGGGCCCGTATTAATAATGAAGCGATTACACGACTGTGGGCCTCAGGACCAAAATAACCCCTGAAGATCGTAAGTAACGCGTCCTTTCGAGAGGCAGTATTTCCTCCTCTCACTGGATTTAATAGTCAATTATCACTGTCACACACCGATCTTCCCTCCTAAAAGTAATATTATCATCATTATCATCAGCAATAATAATACCAATTCTGCTCTTTCGACATCGGTATTAGACGCTATATATTATTTCAGTTATTTCAGCTTTAACGCCTTTACACTGTAATAACTATATTTCACTTTACACTAATTCACCAATCAAACTACACCGTTACACCACATCTATTCTAAGAGATATATCTCTTTTCCCTTCATCGACTAGCAATTAGCCTACAACGCGAAAGAATCTCCACCTTTCTTCGTGCCTTCTGGAGGTGCCTTGAGATATATAGTACAAATCGTTCGACCTCGCTCTATCGAAACGTATCCGACGTGTGGTACCGGATCTTGAACCTCGGCCTTGTTTATCGAGTAATGGATTGCTGAGAGTAGTAACCTTCAGTAATTATTAGAGCAACCCCGCCGAGCAGAATGATTGACAAAGAGTTGGATTTGGATATTATTTCTACGGGACTCCCGGCTCAGTGGAGTCCTTCATTCATCTACAAGCACACACACATGAGGGTTACGGGTCAAAAAGAAGGATACGGCACTTGAGTCAGGGCTCTGCGTTTGTAGGGGACCCCCTTTCAGCTTTCGGCTAGTCCAAAACGGTTAGATAGATTAGTTACGCGTCTCGCATAGTCGGCCATCAAGGCAAGACTTCAGGGTAGTATGATGTAATCAATCAATCAATCAAAGCACGAAAGAACAAAGGGCGAGAGGTGCTGAAACTTACAACTATTTGTCGCTGTTCGTCTAATTGATCTGACTGACCTGCTTGGCCAACCTGGCCGACCCTAATACGTTGTGAGAGTGGTGGACCGCCGAGCGGAATTCACGGTATTTGTGTGGATGTTATACCCTGACTTCCAACATTGCCTGAGCTGAGTTGCCTGAGCTGAGATGACTAGCGTGCTTCTCCTTCTTTCGGAGATAACCAATTCGCTCTTTCGTAGAGGACACAACCAGCTCTCATACCATTGCAACGCTAGCTTCTTGCAACAAAACTTTGGGGTACAAAGTTTCAAGTCAGCATGATCTCTACAGCTTTGCTCCCACAGATGCTGAGCCGATTATCGTTGTTGTTGGAAATTATGAATGGCAAGGCGACTACACCTTTCTCAGATTAAGATATTTCATGGCGATGTCGGCAGGCTCGTAGATCGGTCGGAGCGATTGGTCCATCCATTTCAACCCTGGCATCAGGCCTTCCTGCATCATGCCTGCAACATTCCTTCCCTCGCATGAACCAGCACATCAGTACTCTCGCTTACCCCAGGTATCTTAAGGTCACACATCCGTAGAATCGAAACGTAATTCCATTCTAACTCAGCCTTCATCGCCGCTATACATACAAGAGCTTATATGCCCGTTCGCAACCACTGTTGCAGCTTCACGTTAACAGAGACAAATGAGGAAAGCTGATGCTTTCCGCGATTGTCTTCCTCAGCCCCAACAGCTCAGGGGAGCTAAGGGCCAGTTCGGTAACCACATATTTTGAAAATAACCCCTACTTATTTTCAACTTAGCGTCATATATATATATAGAGTATCGTTCGATTATTATATTTTTAAAATATATTTTTAACATATCTAAAAATAAGTCTTAAGTCTTATTTTTTAGTAAAATAAGGTTAAGTACGCTAAAATAATAGATATTTATAACTAATATATATATAGATATTAAGAGTTACTCTTAACTTTAATCCTATTAATAAAGATATTAGTAGGAATATTAATAGAAATATTAGTAGAAGATATTAACTAAAATATTAGTAGAGATATTAATAGTAATAACGAGGGTAATAGAAGTATTAATAATAGTTAAAGTCTATATAGTAGTAGTAATAGATATCTTCGTTATAATAACGTGAAATTATAGAAATTTAATAGTTATTAATAGAGAAGATAATTCTCTTAATTTTTTATAACGATTTTAACTTAGTCTTAGAAATAGAATTATCGAACGAAATCGTATATATATTTTACATATTTTAAATATAAATTAATATTATTTTTAAGTTATATTTTCATTTATTAAGAGATAACGTTATTTAGTAAAAATAAGTAGAGGTTATTTCTAAAATATATAATTATTGAACTGACTCTAAGTAAGATAGCGAATCTCTCGAGCGAGTAAGTACTCTAAATTTGATTCTAAAGTATAGTCGAGGCCTTTAATACGTTACTTTAAGATCGATAGAGAGATTTTTACTAATCCTCCCCGGATAGTCTTAGCAAATTTATAGGCGGAGAATATTTCGACTCGTATTGACAAGGCATAGGGTATAAGTAGCTATAGTGTAAAATAAAATCGTATTTTATAGAGATCCTAGGAGTATTTTTAAACCTTAGGAGATTTTTCGCATCTGCCGCTCGGTTACTTTTTGACTTTTTATTACCTTGCTAATATTGTTTTTGTTTTAAAAGATTTAAATTTGTATTTATATATTTAAACTTTTATATTAATATTATTATATATTATTATATGTATTTTATTTTAGCTATTTTAAATCGTTTGTTATGTGTTTTTGTTTTTTATATTTTATTTTTTATATGATGTTATATTGTCTAGGAGATCTCTAAATCGTAAGATCTTTTTAGTTCTACTATTAATAACTAAGCTATAATTTACATTATAGCGTAATACTACTTTATAGCCTATACTTCATTTTATTACATTTCATTACCCTCTATAAGATAAGATCTCGAGAATATTACCCCGACGAGAACTTTGACTAAATCGCTTTAAAAAGCGTGGATGTAATTTATAGTAGCCAGATCCCGAAAATAAGGCTTAGCATTCGTATTTACGGAAATAATTATAGAAGACTCGCTTTCTTAGAAGACTCCCGGGAGGAGTCTTAAGCCACGATATTATGAGATTAAAAAATAATTGATATGAGAAGATTCTTCAAGAGGATTTTAGGGTAGATACGTTGAATCTTGTAATAAATCTTTTTCTGTAAATGATACTTATGGTATTCTTGTTACATAACTAGCCTACATAGACCATTACGAAAAACCCTCTGCCGACCTGAGTGCATCACGAATGCAATGTAGTCTCAGTACTCAGACTCTATTCGGAAGGGTTGGTGGTAGTGGTGGGTCGGAAAAACATTTCTTCCGCGCCGAAATTAGTCTCAGTATGTAAATGCAACGGCAGAGGGTGCCAGTACGAGCCAGGCAGCAATTCACGTGTGCTTTGCTACTTCAGTGCCCAGCTTTTGGCGCTTGAGAGCTGTGCATCCGGGCAGACGCTCCTGAATCGAAGCCATCGCCTGGGAATTGGACATATCGAGGAAGGAATCTGCATCTAGCTTGGCTGAGCCGAGCTGATCTGTAGGGGCGCTTCCAGGGCTGGCAATGGTGGACCAACTAACTGGTCCACTACCAGTGGAACCGTTAGTTTCTCGTAGTTGATGGTGTAGTTTGAGGTCTACCGGTTGGTAGTCAGTGCAGTTCTGACCTTAAAACCAACTGGTTCAACTGATAGTGGAGTATTTTATAATTTTTTTATAAAAAAAGTCGGTTTTTTGGTTAAAAGAGCTAATAGGTCAATATTTATAGGGCTAAAGTAGGGCTGAAATAGGCTGATAGAACTTTACACTTGATATATTAACCGGCCCCCCCCCCCCTGAGCGATATTTTATCTTTTATTACAACTGCTCCACTATCAGTTGCACTGATAGTGGGGTAGTTGGTTTTCAATATATGGTAGTTGGTGCAGTTTCGATTTCCAAATCTAGTAGTTAATGCAGTTTACCCTCTAAAACCAACAATTTCCACCGTTGCCAGCCCTGGGCGCTTCACGCAGTGCACAGCGAGGGCACAGGAGGCTAGGATGACAGCTGTACTGGGAAGATAAGGAGAAGAGCGGTTTAGGCAACGCGAGGAAATCAATCCAGCGCTCTGTTGTCCAGGGAGACCAGGGTAGTCTTGACGTGGAAGATAAAGACTGGGGAGGGCGCGCGACTGGGTAGCAGAAGCATGCTCGTGGAGTCTTCGACGATAGCATACAACGGAGATGTCGTACAGGGATAACATGACTGACAGAATACTAAAGGGTCAATAAACCGCTGCCTACTGTTCAAACGCAACCCATCTGGTAGCGGACCAGGATTGAGTCCTAGCTCGGAACCTGGTAGGCACGGGCGCCATTAGAGAGATTCGGATTTGTGGTGGCGTTCCGAAAAAGACGGTAAAATGCAGTGCTGACTAGGGGAAATAGCTTTGAGAGATACTCCGCTTGAACTTGTCTTACTAATTTGTCTGGGTATGGTACCCAAAGATTGAAGAAAACAGCGGTCACGCACGGCCCCTTCTAACACAGTGCTTGCTCCGATGTTAGCCTGGGGGTTCAGAAGGGCTCAGAAGGATTCTGAAAACGCGCAAATTTGGCATCAACTCCAGTGCAGTAGTCGAAACATTCATTCCATGTATTCGTGTCCAGCTCATTACCTCGTTACATACATCATTGACCGTACCAATTTGGTGTCAAATAAGGCGCGCCTTGACCACCGTAGCTTTCTGACGGCTCATAGCCGTTGAAGAAGGTTCCGGTTTCTGAGGCAGAAGTCCAACTTTGAGAGTGGTTGAGGGATGGCATCGCCGGCTCTAGCGTGTTTCCGAGGGGGCAAGTGTTCGTCGGAACTCCAACGTATGAAGGATCGCTGGAGATGAGATGGGCAGTAGAATCCGTGGTCGCTGGACTCGGGCGATGGTACAATCCAGAATCGGACATTAGAGCTGAGGTCGCCTGATAGGGGTTTGGTGATGACAAGAGACTCAACTGTTCCGTTGCATCCGAATGGGGGATGGCGTGGGTCGTGCCGCTCTGAGACCAAGATCCTCCATTGGATTCGCTTGCGGAATAGACAGCGTCCGCAAGGGTATTTGCATGATGGTCATCCGAGGGGCCCCTCTCCAGTTCTGCTCGCAAATATTCTGCGACAGCCTTATTCCAAGCAAAGTTTTCCGGGTGCACCCAAGGAGTCAGTAACGCTGTTCTCGTCTTCCAGGCGTTTTCCATCTTCGGCTGTTGCAATAGGCCCAAGATCACCTTGTTCAAGTCCCATTCGTGGATGCTTTGACGCTCTCTGAAATGCTTGATATCGATGTGCTTGAGACGATCCTGAAAGGTTGAGAATATGGTGATGCAGAAACCACAAGACCATGCTCGCTTCCCCACGGTGTGTCGCCATTGATCTGCGAGCTCACGGCCTCGATGTGCCTCCATTATTCCATGCAACTTGTTCAAATGATTGACCATGATGTCCCTTCTCTTGCACGTAAACCGTCTCGAGGCGTGATTTTGGCCAGCCCTGCTACTTCCTGCGGCATCATCCAGACCGCAAACGAATATTGTCTCGTGTTCCTTCTCGTGTTTCTTCCAACTTCCACTGTCTTTGTAAGACTTCAGTTCTTCACATACTGTGCACCAGTAGTGGTTGTCAGTGTTTCTCGACCTAGTCGACCTGGAAGACCTGCTGGAGTCGTTTCTGGAAAAATGGTCGGTAGCAGACTGCGGTCCCCAAGGGTTGGGGATTATTTGTGATGGACCCGTCGCAGTCGCATCCGTCCCTAACGTGAGCCCGGCTACGGACTGTTTCGGCTGCGCACGGAAAGATGGAAGCAGGGTGTCAGAACCAGACCCAGACTCAAGGATTGGAGAGGTCGGAACATGACCTACTAAAGGCTGTCAGCCTTTCCTCCACGTTTACATATGATAGCGTATCTACTAACGGTGGAGACGGGCTAGCTCTAGCCAACCCAAGATCCTACCATCCGGGCAATCTTTCAAGGTAGATAGCGCAAGGACCTGCGAGGGAGAAAGGTGCCTCTCTCCTGGACCCTGCTCCGGAATGGGCTCGATATGGCGAGTGGATCGAGCAAGCTTGAGCAATACGAGGACATCATTGTTGTTGAAGTCTTTCAATGTTGAAGCTGCGTCCTGCTGCTGTTGCACTGTAGAAGCATGATGCGTCGAATAGGAGGGTGCCGCCCCACCAGATTCGAGCTCGATTTGCTTGGCACAGTTTTGCGCCCAGATATCAGAATTAATGCATGCATAATTATTCATCACGCGAGCTCGGCGGCAGTGGCTCTACTGTAAACTGCTCGAACCGTTTCAAGTTCGCTGATGGTGCCTGTCACTTTCGTCCTAGAGGTAAGATGAGAGATATTGGATAGATCTATGTCTGGATAAGGAAAACCAGCCCAGGAATACTTCAAGAAGGAAATATGGTATTTGCAGCAGGTGCAGTGCTTTTTATGTGATGATGGGCGTTGCGACTATTTCAACCTCAGTGACGGCCATGGCCGTGCCTGGCTGCATCTACTACATGCTACCTAGGTGTCCATACGCTCGCTTCCCACCCGTTTATTACTTTGTTCGTTCCACAGAGATTGTTTCAGTACGCCTGTGAGGCTGAATGCCACACTGCGTAATACACAAGCAGGGTACTGGCAGGGCACTAGCAGCTCACTAGCAACTCACAATTTTAGGTACCTTACTGACTCGATCTAAGACTGAGCTTGCCTCGAAGCGGAAATCAGATCTTCATGTCTAGTACCTAAAAGGCAAGGCAAGCGAATGCGCTTTTCTTAGGCAGGCACACCTATGGTGGCAAAGGTCTGGGAGTGCGTACGTGACAGCGACTGAGTGGGATGTACCTGGAGTCCATCCTGCAGGACTAAGGTAACTCAGCTACTTTGGAAGCCTGATTCCTTTCTGATTGGTTCCCATGCTGACTCACATTTCGTCATGTTCGCGCACAGACCGGGTGAATAGACCGTCGCATAATAATAATATACTACAATCGAATATTGGATCTCTCCTAATCTCCGTTGGAAACAAGACTACAGCGGGCTATCCCGCCGAGCCCGCCCGCTGGTCGATTCTTTTTCGTCATTGTTTGCCACCTTGCTCTCCATCTAGCAGCGGCCGTGAAACATCCTTTTTTTATATATATATTTTTTTTTTTTTTAAAAAGAACTACTCGTCGTTGAAACCCTCTGACGCTTGTGTGCTTGAGAAAATAAATAAGCACATTGAGATCCATTCAAGTGAGCTATGGGCATTCCAAACCTGAGGCTACGGTAACGGTACATCGAAGAAATACGATCTGCATGCAGGCTGCCTCACCTTTAGCCGCAAACTCCCTTCAATCCTTGAGGCCTGTAGTCCTGTGGCTGGTAAACACGTAGACTTTCGTTCTTGACTGCAATCTTAATTTCAACTCCCGCTGGTAACAATCATGCTGTCGATGCATGTAGGCTGACAGGATCTTGGCCTCGCATTGTCCATGTCAGAACCCGCTTTTTTCCCCATCCGTACAAATTACCGGTTTAATCGTCACATAAAATACTCCATCGTTATAAGACATCCTTGCACGTAAGATACTCTTCAGAATGGCTATTTTCAGACGTAGACCACAATTGGACTGTAAGATAGTAATCCCGTGGAGTCGATTAAATACTGAGAATACCACCACGCTGGGTGGGGAGACAGCCTGGTTGGAGCGCTAAAGATCGTATTTCTGATAATATTGGCTGATCCTAGCAATTGCGGTCCAAAATAAGAGACCCTTTTTGAGCACAGTGCGGGTTCACTTTAGGTCACACGATACCACAGTATTAAAAGGCCCCCTAGCATGTAAGATACGGTTCCAAATAAGGATTCCGGACGTTTCGTCTGCATGATAATATCTTATATGACAATTAGTCCGGTAATAGAATCAGGGAAAAATCCATGAAACCACAGCAGAACATTCGGCTTTCTTTGCAATAGAGGCCGATGGTCATCCTGCGGTGAAAATCTGTACTTGTGGCAGCACCAGGTGTCTTGGGGACCAGCCAATGAGCTTTCGCCTCTTCCAACGGAGGCTTTGAAAATGACTGGCAGATTCTTGAAGGTTAAAGTCTATGCATGCAATGACATGTGTACTTTGAAAAGAACAGATGCGCAGATATTTCGAGAACAGTTCCTGACTCCATAGCCTTGCCCCATTCCGGCTTTACCTACACCGACTTTATTACAACCTTACAAGCGGCCCACTGCCCATTGTTCCCCCTACTCCTTCGTCAATCACATTGATATAATTCGTCGAGCAGTGGAAAGGCATCAATCACGGTAATGTGATTCGTTGAGCAGTGGAAAAGTTCGTTGGCCCCACAGCTTTCTCTTTCCATGCATGATGAAGACCTTCGATCTGTCGTCAGGCAGATCGGGCTTTCTACATACTTTACAGTTGTCGATCAAACAGGATTTCACGACTCCAAGGGCTCCAGGAAGCCAAGACCCGCAGATGGCAGGGTGGAAGCTTCCCCGCTCTCGGAAGCTCCCATTGGGCAAGGAAATTTGAGTACCTGTTCAGCACCCAGAAGTACAAACCTCAACAATGAATCATTTTGACAAGTTGAATTCTGCTGGCAAAGATGATCGATTGGATATTCCGAATGACTTTGTACGCGAAATCTTATCGTCAACTTTGAAATCTGATAACTTGTACTAGGACGTTGAACTCTTGGGTGAGTTCGAGTAACCCCAACATCACCGGCTAATGACATCATATGCCTTCCACTGGAACCCCTCCGACCTTCCACAGCTTCGGTTTCTGATGTTGCTGAATTCAAGCTACTGTGTTTTTGAGAACTTCATTCACAATGGAAGACCGCAGCTTCCGCAGAATAGGAGGGACACCCCACCAACACACCTAACTGTTGATATCGCAAACCCCAAACCCGTGAGCCGTATCCGAGCCCGACCCTCCAGAAGGCTCCTCACCATCAAGCAATCACTCTCACCATGCCATCCTGGTCCAACAAACCCTCCGGCACCATGACCGCCGCGGTCCTCACACCCCCCGGCGCTCATCCCCCCACTGCATGCTTCACCATCAACCACACCTACCCCAAGCCCACCCTGCCATCCGAGGACTGGGTCCTCGCGCGCGTCAGAGCCGCCGGCCTCAACAGAGCCGAGCTACGCGGACGTAACGGTGATGCGCCCGCGCCGGCAGAATTCGGAATATTCACATCGGAATACCATGAGGATCCGCCAAAGGTAGAGCAGTATGCTCCTCACACCTTCAACCCACCCCCCTTCTCCCAGCTCCAAACGATCCCTACCCGAGCCACCTCACCAACCCACCATCCCCCAAGATCCCAGGCGAAGAATCCGTCGGCAGCGTCGAAACCGCCGGCGCCTCCACCCCCTTCCACCCCGGCGACCCCGTCGCCGGCCGGGTCTACGGCGGCGGCAAAGCCCACGCCAGTACGCCCTCTGCCACTCGCGGCGCTGCTTCTCCACCCCGCCCACCCCCCTGCCCTGGGACGTCCTCGGCGGCATCTTCCTGAGCATGTGGACGGCATGGGGCTCCCTCTTCGACGCCGCGGAGCCGAACCGGGAGCTCGACCGTCCTGGCGCCACGGCGGCACCAGCAGCGTGGGCCTCTGGGCCATCCTCCTCGCCACCGACCACCAATGCACCCTCACCGCCACGACGCGCCAGGGGGAAAAAATCGCCAAACTGCAAGACGCGGGCGCGCACCACGTCCTCCTGGAACCGGACCCCGACGCGCGCCTCCGCCCCCTCGTCCCCGAGGGCCTCGACCGCATCCTCGAACCCGTGGCTCCGGACCGCATCCTCCACGTCGCCCTCCCCGCCACGGCTCCGCCGTCGCGACGGGCGTGCCGTCCAAGGCGTGGAGCCTGGACCCACTTCGCGCCGTCGGACATTCCCGCCGAGGCGGAAACTGACGTTCTACGCTACGGGGGAGGGGGAACGAGTGGACGGAGCAGGCGCCGCGGGTGATGGAGGCGGTGGTGAGGAAGGTGGAGAGCGTCAGGTGGCGGAAAGAGGGGTTTGTGGGTCGGGTGTTTGAGTTGGAGCACGTTGGGGCGGCGCATGAGTACTTGGAGGAGAATAGAATGGGGCGGTGGGGAAGGTGGTTGTTGTGGTGCCGTAGGGGAGTCTGGTGAACAGTTCGGGTACTGCGATCTGAATTGCCTGCGGTCGGAATGTCGGGAGTAGATGTATACGGATATTAATTTTCTGCGGGTGTGCGGGCCCAAGAAGCGGACGGAATGGACAGCATGTCCTCCAGGACTCTAGCCCAGCCCTGCTGGCTCGGAGCACAGACGAATAGCATGTCCATCAGGACACCCCTATTCGGCTCGGAAAATTAACAGGCAGGGCAGTCTTTCGGACATCAGCTGAGGAAATTGTGAGAATGGATGGTTAGTATTTCAAGTCGTTCACACGTGCCGGAAAATGGCTAGGGTAGATAGATAGAGTTCATTCATGGTAGATTGTAATTTGATTTGAACCCAAACGGAGCTCCGCTCAGGGAGTAACAAACAATCCGCTTGGATCGCACTAGACATTTGGGCAGATCATGAGCGATCGCCGTGGTATATAACAGTAATAAAGACACAAAACAAACAACATCAACTCAAACTTTATCATCTCACGTCCAAGCTCTGCCCCCAACATTCAGCCCGAGACCAACGGCGTCGCGGATAGCACTCTCGGCGTTCGCACTCGCGATCTCATCGCTCTCTCCAGTTGGGGTGGCGGGTCCTCTATACCCTGAATGCATCAAGCCACCCACATCCCTCTTCCTCTCTCTAACCAACCACTCGAGTGCTCTCGCGAAATCGACTGAATTTCCCGTGTCGGTCTCGGCAAGCGCTTTGGCGGCCTTCTTCTTCTCGAAACCCATAGCTACGAGCCTATCGACAGCGACATCGACAGGGTCGCGGACTTGAGGGCCAGCAGGCACGACGAGGGCAGAGACGAAGTTTTTGGAGGTGTCAAGGTCGGAAGGAGTTCGAGAGTGAGCTGACGGGATAGCAGGAACAGGAGGGGCAATACCCATGTCCAGCTTTTCGAGAACGTCAGGGAATTCTGACATGGGTCTGTCCTCTGAAGGCGGCAGAGCCTTGAAGCCAGGATCGCTGCGCTTGGCGCGGATTTCTGCCGCGTGGCGAGCGCAACGCCAGCGGGCGGCCACGACGTCGTCTATGGGCTGTTTGGAGATGGGAGAGGAGGGGTCCGTGATCTTTCCTTTTGAAGACGGGCTGGGCGAGGTAGGATGGCGCTCTGCAATTCTTTCCTGGTAGACGCGGGAGACGGCTTCTTTGAGGAAGGTGGCGCGGGAAACGGTAGGTGTTGTCCAGGTGGTGTAGCCACGCGAACGGGCGTGGGCAAAGGTCGCAGCTGTGGGTGAGGTGGGCGAGGTGACGTCCAGGACGGCGGGAGGAGCGAGAGTGAGGAGGTGGTAGGTCCATTCCTCTGTCGATGGTGTTAGCAAAGGTCTGACGGTAGGGAAGGGAGGCACGTACCAAGCACTGAATCTTCCTGTTCGACATCACCAGTGATGATGTCTGCCTTGTCGAAGATTCCATACTCCCTCGCCTCTTGGCGCTTGCCCTGGAACCCGCGGACGAGAACGCCCAGGCAGGTCCAGATCTCTGTCATATCGTAGAGGTCCTCCGCTGTCAGTCCACCCACATTGCCTTTGCCGAATGTTGGCGGCGAGTTGTAGAGAACACTATTCCTGTTCACGTCGGCACCGAACTCCATGGTGTTGGCAGTCCGTCGTTGATGCTTGGCCATGGTGCCTCCCCTTAGCCAATCCATCTGACCAACGATGTCATCGCCTCGGTTTGATCCACATCCGAACACCTGGCAGAAGGTCCACACACGCCAAAAAGCATCGTCGATCTGGGAGGCTCGTTCAGTCTCACCGCCTGCGAGTGCGGTGATGGTGTCAGCACGAAGGAATGATTCGCAATGTATCAAAATCATTGACTTGAGAGCGATCATGGTGTACATGTCCCTCATGTAGTGTTGTAGATAGAGAGAAGGCGAGTATTCAAGCAACTTTGGAAGAGCGTTATCACCGCTTTCTAACCCAGGATAGGGTGGGCTCATTTCGCGAAGCTCCCAAGCAGCTGGAGACATGCCGTAAAGCGCATTCTTCATCAAGGGAAGCTCGTGTCGCTTGAAGGTGCGGTAGAATCCCCTGCTGACTGTAGCAGTAGCGAAGAGATCTTGCAGGTTGTCAAGGCTTTCCAAGATGCGTAGAAGGACTACCTCAGCTGCATCGGCGGAGATGTCACGTTCGACGTCTTCTACAAAGAAAGACTGTCGACTTCTGATCGTCAATCCTGGAGATGGGAGGCTGGCATAGATATCTGGAATCTCTGACATCGCAATGGACGCAAGGGATCGTGGTCTCTCAGTCATTACAATAGAAGCCATTGACCGGCGTCGTTGGGGCGACTCGTCCTGGGCAGCCCGCCTCTGAAGGGGGTGGATGTTGCTTTCGTCATTCTCGTCTATGGGCGCATCAAGGCCGATCGCGATGGTGACCTGAGATTCCTGAAATTCCTCGACTGGCTTTAAGTAGATGGCGGGCGCAGTCAGTTCAGTCTGCGCGTTGCTACTGTTCTCTGGAGTTGTCGATGGCAGTATCGTGTCAGGAGTCGCGTCATCGATTTGTGTCTGTAGTGGCCTATTAATGGAAGAAGACGATTCTAAATGTTCCTTTGTTTTCGGAGCGAAGGCCGCGAACTGTTCAGAATCATTGTTGTTCTTGGGGCTTAGTAACTCCAACCTCGCTCGAACTTCTTCATAAGCGTGATCTGGGATGGAAGAAATGTCGGTCTCGGGGGTGCTAGAATCCTCTCTTGACATGGTCGGGCTTGAAGAATCGCCGTCATACATAGTCTGGGGAGATTCGCTAGAGCTCCAGTTAGATTCCGAGCTGCTTTCCCTCGCCATTTGAGTCGCAGGTTTGCCAAGAATCTTGTCGGCTTTTGCGGTCGATCCCACTGCCGGCGCGGAAATGCGGCGACGTAGGCCACTCCTGCTGCTGTCATCGGAATCCCACTTTGATGAGTCTCCACGCATCTGCATGGCAACGTGGGTTGCACTCTTCTTCTGTAATCGCTTCCGGCTGCTGATACTTCCATCGCTCAGTTTCAGCGACGATGGCGGATGAGGTGCGTGTCGTGATGGAACCATCGTGTTGGGTCCACGACTTATTTGCAGAGGGTCATGTGCCATAGGCATCATGTTTGGATGTTGCATTGTAGGCTCTTCACTGATGGTGCCTAAATGAGCTTCCAACTCCGCCTCAGCCTGACTCAGCGAGGGTTCGGGTTGGTACTCGAATCCTGCCTGGACGTTGGGACTCGTCTTTGTGAAGGCAGCGTCAAGAGCGTCGAGGTCGGCGGGAGTATATTTCGAGCGCAAGGAGGACATTCGAGATGGAAACTGTGACGGCGTCTCATACATAGACGACCGTGAAAATGTGAGAGGCGAGGGCACCTTTCGCTTTCCCTTCATGCTGCCGGCCCGAGAGTATGCAACATTCAGGGGCGCTACTTCTGCTCCTGGCTCCGGTGGTAATGGCTTGTTCATGTCGACAGAAGCTAACGAGGTCGTGCTCTTGAAGGCCCTCAGCCTGTTGTTTTTCAATGCGAGCGGTGTACCGTCAAACACCCCAGCTGCCGCGGGTGAAATGATGGAGAAGGCGATGCTTTGACACCGGTGGTGGGATTTGTGAACGGCAGTATCCTCCATCAAACTTGACCTCGAGGAGCGACCGCTGTAATTTGATGATCTGTCATCAAGGTCGCCTGTGTCATCCGACGAATCCGAGCGCGCCAATTTTTCCAACGACGGAGCGTTACGAGGCGTGTCGCTTGTCATGTCTTCCAGAGAGAAGGCAGAGAAAGGCCTCCTTGGTTTTGGCATTTCAACGACTGATAGAGGAGAAACGACGGATAACCTTACAGGCACGTCCCCTGCGTTTTGCTGATGTGTGGTCGATGAGGGAGGTGAAATTTGTGTCTGTATATCCCCGCTTCTCCTCTGCGACTTTTGCCTGTCCATCTGCGTTGCCAAATGTGAGGAAGAGTGCGGTCGTCTGGTGACCTTTCCAGGGATGGTGACCTGTATTTTGGGTCTTCGGTCTTTGGCAGAGGGCGCAGCAGCGGGATCCACGTGGAAGTTCACTTCCATTGAGTCACCAGTCATTGCACTTATGTCAGAGTCTGGCCGCGCCTCCGAAGCCTCTGGTACTCTGAGTCTTTGTATCGCTGCAGGCCTTGGCTTCTCTTCTCCCTGCAGACCGAAAGCCTGTGACAGGTACTGGTTGTATGCGATTGAGCGATAGGACTGGTCCATGTTGTTCGACGGCCTCATCTGCTTCACACTGATGCCTTTGTTTTCCTTGCTTGTTTCCACTCCCCGATGTGGGCCATCGTTCCTCCTCGAGTGCACGCCTTCACCTTCATTGTGTGATGCTGCTTCCATTAGGTCGAGATGCTTGGGAGGCCTCCTAATGGAACCAGCAGCCATGGCGGACGCCAGTGGTTTCGGTCCTGGATTACTCTCGTTCGAGTTCTTCTTTCGGTGTAGATTCCTCATCTTGTCCGACAGAGACCTATTGTGTCCAGTTGATAGTCCCATGTCGGAGCCTTGGAGATGTGTATTAAGTGGTCTGTTCGTTCCAGTAAGGGTAGATCTGGGCTTGGAGTTCAAACTCAAGGACCTGCGCAAGCTGCTGTTGCTGCGGTCATTCCTGTGTGAAGGGGTAAAGATGATTCCGCAGCCCGGTGCAGCCATGTTGGTGGTGGGGGCTTGTTGGTAATACCGTCACTCGGGAAATTGGAAAGCTTCTAAAGGACGGCACAGCCCACATCAGTAACGATCAAACACGACAGGTCTGAGCTCAGCCTAACAACGAGATGATCGAACTTACATATATCAGCTATGTTCTCTTCCGACTGTGCGTAGAAGTGAGCGGGCTCAATTGCCGTTTGACATGACCTGTACTCCAGCATCCAAATCCTTCGAAGCTCAAGTGAAGGTGTAGAGTAGAGCTGCGCCGGAATTAGGCTTTAAGCACTCTGCCGCTGCAACATCGATTTCTCTCAAACCACAGCCCACTCAGCATCGACCACGGATCAAATAGAAGGTATTCAAAGAGTTGAAGATGAAGAAGGACGAAAGGCAGCAGAGGAATGCTCCTGCTTTTGCGCGTGGATGCAAGTCTTTGCGACAGGCATATTGATGGTGCGGCCTGAGAGTGCGCACAGCATATCCGTCGCAAATGCAAGAGGCAGATCTGGCACACACCTCGCCAGGACTGCCCCAGCGGATCGGCGGATTCGGCGCATCATGCAGTCCTGAAACAGCCTACTGCTCCAAATGCCAAAGAAGAACAGGGGGATGCTAAGGACACTTGGAGACGTTGGTGTGGGATGCTGCTGCGGCGAAGATTGCTTCGTACAAGAATGGGCCCCCCCAAGAAAAGTTGGGAGTTGGTTGGAGAGGGAATGCGAAGTTCCCGCTGATGGTTTCATCTTTACGGCAAGCATGATTCACTAGACTACTTTGGGGTTAGACTTCCGAGCTACGTACCATTTTGCCGACATTCACACTCGACAGTGACTTCTACGCATTCCGCCTCGGCAATGCTTATGCTATGTTGGAAGACTCGGAGTAGGTGAATAATACGGGAACCGAGACAAAGTACAGTCAGAATTTCCTACCGATCCAGTTGATACTGCGACTGCCTAGCATGCTCACGCCTCCGTACGAAATGACGGACGAGCGTGTGACCAAGCAACTTATAATCTGCGCCAATGGAAGGTACTTTTGATCCCAGGTGCGGATACAGTTGGCATGTGGGTCAATCTTTGAGCTGACAGCCGAAACCCTCATTGATGCGCAAGGTCGTATTCCACCTGTACTCCCACTGTACTCTAGACAATAATGTGACCGCAAAAGTTCCTTAAAAACATCGAATTGACGAGCGTCTTTGTAGTCACAATCCTTAAGGTTGCCACTTGTATACGTGGTGCCGTGTGGTGGAAAAGTATCACAGATGAAAACAAATAGGTATCGGCCCGACCAATCAGAAATTGCCCTTCTCACGTGGTCCTTTTAGCTAACAATCTCTGTCAACGGTGAGTGCCCCCACGATAATAACCCTGAATCGCCAATAAACGTGATTCGTGGGGTGGCTTTCATTTTACGACTCAACAGGCGCGCTTGATGTGAGAGAACTTCCTTCCGCACTGCCGCCCAATAATAGCGACACGAGGAAGAAAAGGACTGGACCTGATGGCCGGTACTCTACCGTCGCGAATCTGATTCCAGCCAACTTATTTCGTATCTCAAGGTTCTTATTAATGTGCAGGTGATGCGAAAGAAATAGACCACGACAGTGAAGGAGCCATCGTATTCACGTACAGGCCCGTCGAGTCTGCCTCGCATTTACGCCACATTATCATGGTTAGTCGACCAATGAGATTGCTTGCTAGTTGCGGTGGTTACCAATTCATGTCGTGTCCTAGGCGTCACTTCGGGCACAACAAAAGATATGATTTAGGTACAACCGATAGGCGGTCAACGGCAAACTTGTTTTATTCATCGTATCCAACTTCCTATCACACTCAACTAATAAACAGCACGATATCCAATCTGGATAAGTCATCGCTATCATGAACCCCTCTTCAAAGCAATACACTGGACCAACACGAATTCGAAATCTACTTTCCGGCGAATCCAGACAAGTAATAACGACGACAGCAGCGAGCTCGCTCGGCTGGCTCGCCTGAAGTTGACAATGTACAACGCAAACTCACAGCCACATCCGGTAAGGCCAGTGCAACCTTCCTTTCAACTCAAACCACGGTGTCGTGCTCAACCCCAAACGCGGCTTTACCCGCCGTTGGTATCAGGGTAAGACCAACTTGTCTCAATTTGCGCCGCACAGGTCTCGTTTCAGATACAAACCCCGGCATCAATCGACGGAATTCGGCTCTCCGGCTGTCGGATATGTCTCGGCATGCAGCTGCATAGGCCGCATTGATTCTTCGCTACGAATGATGTTCAGAGCACGCTGTTTTTATTAAATGGCTCTTTGATGTTTCTATATACAGTCAAGATGCCCTCAGGTATTTAGATCCCTAACGTTTTCTCAATCTCAACATTTTTCACCAGGTGAAGGACTTCGGGAGAAGTGGTCGGAAGAACCTGAAACCTGTCGCAGCCAGCTGTGCCACCAAAGACCCCAGATCTTGACTCTCTCTCGCAGACCTTGCGGAAGTCTAGCCAACCTCTCTTGAGCCAGTCCTTACCAGGTTGAGCTATGCTTCCTACGACGGAGCAGCCGCGAGTGGCTCGACGCCGTCGAATTCTGCTGGTGCATTCTTCGCAATCGTGGCCGACGATGACGGGACATTGAGGGGTGCACTTAGCAGCAACGTCCGATCTGAGCGTCGATATTTGGCCACAAGACAACGAGCTTGACCATATAATAACATTCTTGTCATCGAGTATCTCGTACTCATGTGGTGGCTCAAACAAGGAGCTTCCCAGCTATTTTCTCACGTCGGGCGTTTGAGAATTCCCGGCTTCTGCGAATGCGTCGTCTCTATGTGCAAGTAATAGCCCACCCTTCCTAAAATACTCGATCGCTGTCATCACATGTGGCATCCACGGCCTCTCACGCTGCCATCTTTTGTGCATAGGAGAGGGCGCAGACGGCAAGTCTTCGGCCGTACACAATGCCATAAAGGGTCTCGCATCGGGTATTGTTATCGGAAAGCAAAGACGAAGGGTTGTTGCAAGGTATTTGATTTTGATTCCGGCAGCGGTGTGCCTGGCTTCTTTTGCCCGCGCTTCATCCTAACAAGCACCGCTCGTCCTCTTCTCGTACCAAGACTGGTCCGGCGTTGTTTTCAGAGAACGGTGACAGAGCGAGTTGTCTGAGGACGCCGGTGGTTATCACCAGCCCCATCGCGAACAGCCTCGACATCTTCGATCACCCTTTTCTAATCACAATGCATCGGTGTGTAGCCGCTACAGAAGCGCGTTTCACTTTTTTTTGTGATTTCACCATATCAGTCGCAGTCTCCCCAACACCGTTGGGACAGACTGCGTTGTGCTGTGTTGCACCGTTCTACCCGGACTTTGTCTTCAGACGCGTATCTCAAATTTTCACGGCGTCGGTGCGCTTTGCGATAGCCGAAGATAAAAGTCTATACCATGAAGGAATCGATCTTTTGCTCGTGGCGCAGGACTGCGATCTTTGCTTTTGCACGATGTCGCGAGCACATCCAGCCATTCCCACGTCGTATTCCAACCACAAGCTGTCCCTTTTGCTCCGAGACGCTTTGTCATTTGTACCTCAATATGACAAGCCTCATCGTCAGTTTGGCTCTTCTCGTCTATCATCTCAGCGTAGTCACCGCCTCGTTTATCCCTCTTCAAAGACTCGGCAACAGCATTCTTTCCAACAATTTCATTCGAAATAATACACTCGCTCCTCTGAGCGCTGTAAACCTCACTGCCGCTACTCCACCACAAGGCTTCTCGAATGATATCACTTACGTAGGAACCGCGATATTCGTTCCTATGGAAATGTATATTAAACGCCGTTGAAGCAATGTCCCTTTTCGCTTCCTACCCCTATGACGCGCAGCTCAGGTTTGACCAACTCGAAGTAAGCAGTCCACATTTCTGCACTGAGATTTTTGTCACAAGGATACAGCCAGTATTGCAGTCCAAGCGCGTGGTGGCGGCGTTGTATAAGACTGGCCTCGCAATAGCTAATGGAAACAAATTCCATAAAAACCTCGTGTTTTTGAATATAGAAGAGAAGCTTGCAGGGCTTTTGGCTTTCTGAAATATACAACGCGGAATGCGTGATTGAGGGTCGGTCTTCGAACACGACTGATCTTGTGGCTCGTGCCGAGGGTACTCCTACTTCCACCAAACGTCACCCTTACCGCCGACTCGGGAATCACCATCGATCCAACCCACAGCAAGTTCAAAATCACCTACAAATATGACAGCGTGCGCATTAAGGCGGCTGACGTCTTCACCTCTTTCCTCGATGCTATCGCAGTAAGTGCCGAACACGATCTCGCTAAGGTTTCGATGCTTCCGTGAACGCGGTCAGCGTGTCGGGCCTGTGTACGATCAACGTACGCGCATGTTATGGGCGGCAGTTGAGTTGGGCCAGGCTGATCTGAGCGTTGGTGTTGGGTTGGGAGAACCTGATTATAGATGGTCCACTTAGTAGAGGGAGGTATGAAGGTTTGGAATTTGAGATGGTATATGATGGAGTGCAGATCTGGGAGGGCCATTCTTGGAAGCTGCCTGCAGTTTCGGGTGCCTCGGAAGGGCCAGCCGTCGCCAGGCGAAGATGATTATGGTCTGTGTTATTAACGTGCTGCTGTATCTCTACCGTCTATCCGAGAGCTGAAATTTGGGCTTCGAGCCGGAATGCGATGGCCGTTTCTGCTCGAAGGTCATACATAGCGAGCAGGCTTTAAGGGGCACCAGCGCCCAATATCATGGCCTTTTGTACCTCACGAAGGTTCCAGCGCGTAGTTTTGACCCTCCTTGAGGAGACATTGAAGATTTAGGCCTGTAGTACAATGGTCCTTCTACTAAAGTACAAAAAGTTGAGAATGCACTTGGGACTCAATACCGTAGTGTGAGAGCCCATCTCTCTCTAGAAACCGGAATTTGAGAGAGAATTCGGAGTCCATGTACAAGAAAGTGATGACCCTCCTTCTCCTGCAACAGCAAATCGAGAAGAGACTTTGATACCTAAGACTTGCAGTTTCTAGAATTGGAAGAGGTTTGGTAGGTCTCGGAAACATAGGACATCTGGGGACTGGGTCCGAAGCATGACAAATGGGTTTCGAGCTTTGGATCCACGCTAACCTACCACCTACGGAGGTAACTCCGGCACTAGATCGTTAAATCCGAACCGGAAGAATCAAGGAAGCAAACAACCGTTGCACAAGAACATTGGAACCCAATGGGCACTGCTACTGCTCTACATGAGTTTTCAAAACAAACATACAAAGAATGATAGGAAAATAACGGGTACCAACAATATGACGCGTGCAGCAGAACTTGCCAGCAGCCGAGAAGGCCTCCTTGACCATGAAGCTGCCAGGCCTTATCGCCGTTCACTTGGTAGCGACCGTTCCTCATCCGAGCTGGATCTTGACGAGCTACCACCGCCGCGGTCAAGAGGTGGATGGTCACCATCACCATCAAGAGGAAAGAAAAGCAATAAGGAAAAGGAAAAGGAAAAGGGATACCCGGGACTGCCCAAGGCAAAGAGGAAGGGAGGATTGCTCCGGAAGACAACATGTCTGCTGATCATGTCGATACTGTTAGGGGGGCTGCTAGGTCTGATAGCAATGGCGCTATGGGTATGGAGAAAAGCCATCCCGCTAGATGGGCAGTCACCGCCCTGGTACCCGTCGCCAAAGGGGGGGACCCTAGCACCTTGGGAGGAAAGTTACAAGAAAGCGGCTGCTATGGTCAGCAAGATGTCACTACCCGAGAAGGTGAATATCACGACAGGGACTGGCTGGTCACAGGATTTGTGTGTTGGCAATACTGCACCTGCGAACGGCGTGGGCTTCCCTCCGCTTTGTCTACAAGACGGGCCTCTCGGTATCCGTTTCGCAGACCACGCAACTGCTTGGCCAGCCGGTATCACCGTCGGAGCCACATGGAACAAAGACTTGATCTACAAAAGAGGAAGAGCGCTAGGTCTTGAGCATCGGCTAAAAGGCGTGAATGTGTTGCTGGGGCCCTCGATGGGACCACTAGGACGAATGCCCGCTGGCGGGAGAAATTGGGAAGGCTTTGGTCCCGACCCCGTGCTGCAAGGCATTGCGTCTGCTCAGACTATCAAGGGTATCCAAGATGAAGGAGTAATGGCCACTGCAAAACACTACGTCGCAAACGAGCAGGAGCATTTCCGACAGGCTAACGAGTGGTTGACGCCGCACGCCATATCCTCCAACATTGATGACCGAGCTTTGCACGAAGTATACTTGTGGCCCTTTGCCGACAGCATTAGAGTTGGTGTTGCAAGCGTAATGTGCAGCTACAATATGGTCAACAATTCTTATGCTTGTGGGAACAGCAAGCTGTTGAACGGCATACTAAAGGATGAACTGGGCTTCCAAGGGTTCGTGCAGTCCGATTGGTTAGCTCAACGAAGCGGAGTAGCCAGTGCCTTAGCCGGTCTTGATATGACGATGCCTGGAGATGGTCTTTATTGGATGGACGGAGATTCTTTATTTGGTCCCCACCTCACTCGATCGGTTCTCAACGGCTCTTTGCCCGTTGAGAGGTTGGATGACATGGCTACACGTGTTGTGGCTGCCTGGTATCAACTCGGCCAAGACGACAAAGCCCGCTGGCCGAATATTCCTCCTGAAGGTGATGGTAGACCAAACTTCTCATCTTGGACAAATGACAAGGTCGGAAAGATCCACCATGGTAGCGATGATCCCACGACGGCGGTGGTCAATCAATTCATCGATGTTCAGGGGCAAGGGAAGGACTTTCACGGGCGTCTGGCTCAACAAGTCGCCGCCGAGGGCACTATCCTCGTCAAGAATGAGAACAACGTCTTGCCACTAGATCCTAAAGGCTGGACTGAACAGTATCAGCCCCACGGTACTGGTAAGTACAAGGTCGGAGTCTTCGGCGAAGACGCAGGATCTAATCCAAATGGGCCAAATGATTGTCCCGACCGGGCCTGTAATGTCGGTACTCTAGCTTCGGGGTGGGGCAGCGGTGCCGTGGAATTCCCATATCTAGTTCCACCAATCGAAGCATTGGAATCCACCTTCGACCTTGGCTCTGTTGATATTACGGCGACATTGACAAATGACCTGCCCAAGAATTGTTACTCCGGTCAAGACCTTTGTTTAGTGTTTATCAATTCAGATGCAGGTGAAGGCTACATCCAATGGAACGGGATCACGGACAGAAATGACCTGTACCCTCAAAAAGGTGGAGATGAACTTGTCAAGAAGGTCGCCACAGAGTGCTTGCAAACGGTTGTCGTTGTCCATGCCGTCGGCCCTGTCGTTCTCGAACGTTGGATCGATCTTCCCAACGTCAAAGCTGTCATCCTTGCCAATCTTCCCGGCGAAGAAAGCGGTAACGCCATTGCCGACGTTCTGTTTGGCCGAGTGGACGCGACTGGACGACTACCCTACACTGTGGGTAAATCCATGTCTGAGTACGGCCCTGGCGGACAGGTCATGTACAAACCCAATGGTCTCGCACCTCAGCAAGACTTTAAAGAAGGCCTGCTCATTGACTACCGACATTTCGACAAACAGTCCATCACCCCACGCTACGAATTCGGCTTCGGCCTCTCATACACTACTTTTACATTCTCAAACCTCGCTCTCACAACGCTGAAACCCAAATCGCCCTTCCCTTCGCCGCGCCCTGAGGGAACAATTCTACCTCCCACATATTCAACCGACATCCCTGACCCATCATCTGCACTGTTCCCAAAAATCTTCTGGAAGCTGCACAAACGCATATACCCCTACATTGACTCTACTAAAGAAATCAAAACCGGCTCTTACCCCTATCCGACTGGTTACAACGACCAGCAAGTCCCGTCTCCCGCTGGCGGTGGCGAAGGCGGTAATCCTTCCCTTTATGAAGAACATATCCTAGTCTCGATCGACTTGAAGAACACGGGCCCTCGCACAGGAAAGCAAGTCGTGCAGGTCTACGTCTCGTTCCCTGAAGATGTGATCGACTCTAGCACGGGAAGCAAAATCGAGTTTCCCGTGAGAGTACTTAGGGGCTTTGAGAAAGTGGAGCTCGCTGCAGGAGACACGACGAGAGTGGAAGTCCGCCTAACAAGAAGGGACTTGAGCTATTGGAGCGTCGGCTACCAGAATTGGGTTATTCCCGACGGTGATATTGTCGTCGCAGTTGGGGCGAGTTCGAGAGATTTGCCGTTGAGCGGGACTTGGTAGGGTCATGAAGCATATGTTTGTTCTGGGTCTGCGTCGGCAAAGTGCGGTATCTGTCTAGTCGTTTGAGCAGCATAAGAATTAATGGAACAGTACTTGAGCATTTGTACCTGGGACTTGGAGAGTTGCCCGGCTTAGCCAACGTTCAAAATGCTTCCCAGGATGAACGTGCTTTGATTGAGGGGAATGATGCCCAGAAATATAATAAGATTTTCGTCTCCAAATCTACACACTGTAGCACTCTTCCCTAAGAAATTTAGCCTCATTGCCTTACTCGATCTATTTCCCACCCCGTTTTTCGATCTGGACGTGCTGTGACTGATGGTACTGCTGTCCAAAATCCCTTACCACTCTTCAGATATAACTGCATAATGCAGCGCTGTTCCCCCAAAAAGCCTGAGCTCCCAGCTTACCCAGTTGACTTGCGAAACATAGACGGGTTCAGATATATCTTCATTCATGGGACAAACGCTCTAGAACCACATGTGTGTGCATTACCAAACGGTTAGAGCCTTGCCTTTTTTCCTTGCTAGGTAGGTGAAAATGCCGTTGCGTAGCTCTAATTGACTCGATTCTGAATCACAAGTGCGTTTTCCTTGCTTGACCCGCATACGCATCTGCAACGGGAGTGACACGAGCACCAAGTCATCCCAGAGCATAGACCACGACAATGCTCGGTGCACATCGGTACGCCCCCCCCTTGTTTCTCATCGCCGAATCCACCCACCCACCTACCAACTCCCCCCCTCCCACTCCGGCCGCCGAACCGGCTCATCCGAATCCTCGTCCTCAGACCCAAACTCCATCCCATCCAACACCCCCTCCACCACCGCCCCAACCGCCCCGTTCCGCCCCCTCGGCACCCAAACCCACTCCACCGTCCCCGCCCGCAGCACCTCCCCCTCCAGCAGCAGCGCCCGCTCGATCAGATCCCGGTCCACCACCTCCCGGCCCCGGCGGGTCCGGAACCCGTTGCGCGCCCACTTCCAGCACCACTGCGTCATGCAGCCCAGGGCGTACTTGGAGTCGGTGTGGATCGTGACGTCCACGCGCGGGCGCGGACCCGGGCCCGGGCGCGGTTGCAGCGCTTTGAGCCGCGCTTGCTGCAGCGCGAGGATGATGGCGCATAGTTGGGCGCGTTGGGGCGTGGGTGGTGGGGATGGGGGCAGCTGGTGGGTTTGGGTGGTGCGGCGGGCGTATTTGTTGGTCATGGTTACGGCGGCGGCGGCGATGGGGCCGCGTTGGCTGGTGGGGCGGCAGCGGCCGCTGGCGTGGAGGGTCATGGTGTAGGGCATGGTGGGCGCGGAGGAGGGTGGTCTTGGGAGTCGATGGGTGAGGTTTGGAGGCGATGAGGGTACTCGGTATTGCTTGTGGGGTTGGCTGGTTCGGGGGAAGTGAGCTGCTGTTCTGAAAGGTGCGGAATGAGTGGCACGGTTACTGGGAGCTTGGTTGAAGATGCGTAGCGAGCGTGATCTTCCTCTGCAGCGTCTTGATAAGCGAAATCAGTGTCACGGCGGGCAGTCTTTGAAAAAAGTCAGAATTGGAGTTCCTTCTTAAAAGACAAGAGCCGAGCGATGAGACATCTTGAAGTGGTATGAGAGCCTTTTGCTTCCAGTCATGTCTCGTGGTAGGTAGAGTGGTCCAGGATAGGAACAGATTACGCCAATAACAAACATACCGTCTTTTAAGTTATTTAAAGACCCCAGAGATGTTCGTGTGATGAAATGTCAGTTTGTGTCCGTCTGGGATAGAAACATAGAGCCCGCGTCGTTATGGGAGCCATGTCGACGCTATGAGTCTCCTGTCCCCAACCCCCCAAGGTCTGATATGTGTTGAAGACAAAGTGGTCGTGCTAGGGACATTGCATGTTCGCCACGCCGGTATTGGCAATTTGATGGTGTTTCATACCCATCAAATCAAGGCCAATCGGTAGAACTATACGCAACACTTTGCACTCTCCAGTAGAGATGATCTCTGACATGTTTTTAATCTTCATCTTATGATTGGAAATTCCGCTGTCAGCTGTTGAGGCAGTAATGAGAGGTATCAATGCATACGGGTGCTTGTACAGTCACACAAATAGATCTGAGGAGCACTGATTCCATCTGCTTGCTCATGATGAAGCAGATTATGGGGTGTCAAACTTTCCAAAGGGATAAGATGAATGTCTCCTGAGCGGCATCCAAGGACTGAGATGCTCTTTTGACCCATAACTCTCCTTACGCTGTAGAACCTGACCCAACCCGACTCTTGACTGCGCATTTGGCTTGACGCTGATGATTGGTGATGGCTGAGGTGTAGGTAAGGTTCAACTCAGTCTAATCACGTCAAATGAATTAAGCGGCGCCAAAAGCCAGAGACGGATAACCCCGCCAAGCCGCGCCCTCGAGTGTTATCTACGTGCTCGGCCATAGGCAAACTTGCATATGGTTCAGACTATGATTAGGGCTTAGGTCTTAACGAATCTTTGTGATTTACTCCATTCACAATGAACCCACAGCTCAGGGCAGAGGAGACAATATCCATGTATCTCCGAAGAGCAACAACACTTTTGATTTAGTCGTTTGTGACTGATTCAGACATCGGCGTCTATGGTCGGAAGGTGCTTCCTGCGGGGTCGTTCTTTCTAGCTTTATATAGTATAGTTTGCTTAGCTAAATTCTTAGAGAATCCTCGAGATCCTACTTCCATAGAATCTACATCCTCTTCTACCCACACGAGCCTAGTTATTCTTATTCTTTAAAGATCCTACTTAGATTTTTTATAACCCTAAAGTAGAATCATCTTTACTATTATTCTTATATATCTTTAAAATCTTTATTTAGCCTATTTAACTATTATCTATTATTATTTATTTTTCTATTAAATCTCTTACTAAAAATCTTACTATAAAAGTACTTTCTTAAGTCATTCAGTCTAGAAAGCCTCTTATATCTATTAAATCACTTCTAGAGACTTAAGAAGCCTTTAATAAGTATCTTAAGAAGTTACTATTACTTAACTCGATTCTTAAATTATCGTTATTACTTATTAGAACTCTCTTACTACTATAAAAAATAAGTTATAGTATTATTATTCTAGCGAGTATTAAAAATCTTTTTAAGAAATTAATCTATCACTATTAGCTTAATATCCTAGACTTCTTAAAAATTCCTCTTAATAATAGTTCTACGAATTCTATAGTCTCGTTATTAGAATCTTATTAAAGCACGTTTTCTTTAAATTAGTTTAAAGCTTTTATATAGTCTAGCAATACTATAAAAGCAATTATATTTTATCTTATATTTATTATATATAATAACTTCTTAAAAATTACTAATATATTAGTATTAAAGTAATTTCGAAAGTTTAACTTTAATATAGAGAATTATTAAGATAAAGAAGATTATTTCTCTTTAGCTAAATATCTAAAATATCTTAATATACTTTTTATTAACGATACTTTCGAGTAATTAGAAAGTTATTTAAAAATTATTTAACTTTTTATCGAAATAAAGTATATTAATTCCTAATAAATAATCTAATAATTTCGAATTATATTCTATAAGAAGTTTTTTTTAAAAGCTATAAAAGTAAGTATAATTCTATTTAATATCGAGATTATAAAACTTTATTAACGTTTTAAAGAATTTCTTACTTTCTACTTTAAGCGTATTATTAACTTAATATAAAGAGTTAAAATTAAGAATAAATCTACTATTACTCTTAGTGCTACCTTTAATCTTCTTAAATCTACTATACTCGATATTATTCTTTATATCTTTATTAGAGAATTAAATAATTAAAAAATTTAAAAGAAAATAATAAGAGATATAGTATCTTTTAATAGATTTTTATATATAATCTATAATCTCGCGAAAGAAATATAGCGTATTAATATTAAAATCTAGAAGCTCTTAAAATAAAGAATCGAGATCTAATTAACTATAATTCTATAAGTCTCTTATAAAATAAAGATTATCGAAGTAGTAGATAACTTTCTTACTTATTTTTTATTAAGTTATTAAAGTCTTATAACTCTTATATTATTAATCTTAATTCTTTTATATAAATCTATTAAAGTAACTATTAGAGGCTTTTACGAGATCTTAATATTTTATATAATCTTAATCTCTAGAGTATCGTTATTCTTTATATAAAGTTTTAATTCTTACTTTAACTCTAATTTTAATTTTAGCTTAAAATCTTAATAAAGAAAATATTAATAGAAGTAAATCTTCGAATTTTATAGCTAATAGTTACTTTCATAATTATTAATTTATTTTAAAAGATATATCTAATTATAATATTTCGAAAAACTCTTATATTAATAGTATAATTTATTAATCTTATAAGAAAGATAATTAGCTATATATTAAATATAGTATTAAGAGTTATATCTCTTCTTATTATAAGAGTACTTTACTATCTACTTAGAAATAGTTATATCTAAAAATACTTATTTTTAAAGATAATCTATAATTAAACTTTACTTTCGTTAAGTTTAAAAAGTTTAATAAATCTTCTAGACTCTATAAGACTATCTCTTCGTCGAAGTCTTTCATAATTTCTTCTTCTTCTTCTTCTACTAAATCGAGTTAAATAACGCCTTTAAACTTTATAAATTCTTATATTTTATCTTATTCTAATTTAGTATAATTTAAAGTAGTAGAGCTAAATTAATCTTATTTCGCTAATATAAAAATCGCTAAAGCTTTTCTCGATAAAGGATTAGAATCTAATAAGCGAGTTTATATAAAAGAAGTATTAATATTAATATTAGCGTCGATATTAATATCTTAATAATAATAAGAAAAATAATTTAAGAGGTCTTAATTAGTATTTATTTAATTATAGTAATTTATATTATAGTAGTTTTAGATATCTTAATATTAATAAAAGTAGTTTAATATTAATTTAAATTCTAATACTTCTTTCTATCTATTATAAGTTTCTATTTAAATAAATTTATAATAGCCTTTAATAGCTATAAATTAAAAATCTTCTTTCTAAAATTAATTATATTTATTCTAAGTTACTTCGAAAGAAGAGTATTTTAAATATAAGAATAAAAAGCGAGTTAGTAAGAAAGTAGAACCTTAGCCTTTAATAAATCTATTTAATAAATTTAAATATAATTCTCTTATATCGATCTAATATATATTTAAGAGTATTAAAGTTAATATAAATATAATAGATTTTATAATATAATTACTTACTATATATAAGAAGTTAAAGCGCCTTTATACTTAAGTTTTTAAAAAATAAACTTTAAAGTCTATTATAAATACTACGTAAGCACCTTTAATTAGCTTTTAATTCACTTTTATTTAATAAATTCTATAGATATCTATATTATCTCTAAGGTATTTATAAGCTTATTAACTTATATTAATATTTCCTTCTATATCTATATCTTAAATATCTATATTTTAATCTTTTTAGTAAACTTTAGAGAACTTTACTACGTTAGTATTTATATTCTAGATTAATATTTCTATTATAAAAACTAAGAAGTATATATACTTTCTAAGCTCTCTTATAAGTGTGAATAAGACGTTTTATATTCTTATTATTATAAAGAAATAGAATAAATTTAATATTAATCTCGAGAAATCTTATATTTAGACGAATTAAGATTTCGATATAAATATAATATCTTCTAAACTAATATATCTTCTAGATTTATATTTTTATCTACTTACGAAGATTAAATTTAAAAGCCTTTTTATACGAATAATAAATTATTATAATATTATACTAGAATATTAGATATAGCTTATAATTAATATAAAAGAAATTTAAAGAAATATTTAATATTTTATAGCTTCGAAAGTTATATTTATTATAAAATTAGAGAGATCTAAATATCTTAATTTAATCTTTAAAATTCTGTAACTTTATACTATAAATACTTTTATTTCGATTTATTTTTCTACTATTTTTCTAGAAGATAGATCGAAAGATAAGAAAGTTCGAAGAATCGTAGATTTAGAAATTATTTTTTATAAAGATTATAATTTATTAATATATCTTAAATTCGCTATAACTACTTCGAAAGCTATTAAATAAGATATATTAAAGACTTTCTTTAAGAAAATTAATTTTTTAGAATTTAATAGTTCTTCTAATTCTAGAAATAACTTATAAGATAAGAAAGAGATTAAGCGTTAAGATTTCTAATAAATTAAATCTATCTTAAATAGAATATTAAAATATTAGAGCTTATAGA